ACAGGTGAAATATTTGCAAGTAGTCCAGCCCTGCTAGCTACACTCAACTGTGTCATACTAGGAGAAGGAAATAGTCTGGTTAATGAACACTCCAAGATTATAGACATATTGCTGGCATTTAAATGGCTCTGTAGACTCAGCTGGAAGGAATCAAGCAGGGCTTGCAAGCCGTGGTTCAGATCTGTCCTCAGCTGACCCGAGCTGGTCCTTTGCACAACCACCGAACAGGCTCCATGTCCCTTGGATCTCTACTCCTTTAGGAACTGATGGTCCTGAGCCCACGGTGCTCCTGAGCCAGTGCCCTGAGCTCCCATGGCATGGCACTTCCCAGGAGCAGGATTTTTAGCTGCGTGGGATGAAACAGCTCTGCTGCTGGAGCTCACCCTGGGTCGGGATGGCTCCGTGTGGTGGAAAAGTCTCTCCTCCCACCCGTGCTTCCAAAGAAAGGCTCAGCAGTCTCTGTTGTCCGGTCTCAAGGCAGTTTATTGCAAGTTATCTAAAAGATTTTCTTCTGGGGCTGCTGTGGTTTGCTCACAGCTCAGGCAGAGGCACACAGACACTCAAAAATTCTTCCCTCTACTTTGTGACTACTTCTACTATAATATCTAAACTTTTGTGACTTGTTCTTCCTGCAAAGTTGGTAAATAGTTCCATGGTTCAAACCCAAAATCACAGCTGTTTCCAGCTGCCTGCCAGGGTCTCAAATGCTTCTGACCTGGGCCTGGAACATCCAAAAATGTCTGAGGGACATTTTGAGTTCTGACACTCAGCCTGCTGGGACTGTGGCTGAGCTGACACTGGCTCCACGCCACTGCCTGCAGGGCCATCTGGTGCTGCTCTTCCCTGGCTCCCTGGCCATGGCAAGGGGCTTTGCCACCATCCTGAAAGCACCTGGAGCTGGGGATCAGCTGCTCACTGCACCACCTTTATCGTGCCATGCATTTACTGTGTAACGTGAATCAAACAGCAGAGATGGGCAAGGCAAGAGCTCTGAAATGATGGATTTCAGTATAGTCAGAGCATGGGTGTGGGAACCCAGGGCTTCCCTCTGGCTGCCCTGGCAGGTCTGGGACCCTGGCAGGGGTCAGGAACCCCCCTGGACAGAGCCCCCAGAGACACTGGCTGTGATCTCTGTCCATGGAAAAGAGTTTTCAATCTTACAGGATCAATTACAAGCTCTGAGTGTTTGATATCAGTAATAATTAAGTGTGGCACAGGTGCAAAAGTAAAATTTTAGGATTCTAGATTAGGGGTCCAAAGGGGACAAGATGCAGGAAATTGGGTGTGTCTTGTCCTTTTTCTCCTTCTTCATGCCCTCCATGTGTCACTGTGGTGTTGGCATTTTTCTGTTGGTTCAGGCTGGGGACACACTGTCCAACGTAGGTGACAGATATTGGCACGTTATTGTAAATCCAGCACAGGTAGTTTGTGGTATTTAATGTTTGTACCATCCCACTGAGGGCAGAGCCCCACACGCTGCCCTGCAGGACAGAGCTGCGGCAGGGCAGCAGAACATGTTAGAGATAAACAGAATAAACAACCTTGAAACCAGCACAGACCAATTATGGCTTCTGCTTTGGCAGCGGGGCTGAAAGACAGAGACTTTCTACAATCTCAGAATCATCAATACCACAGATTCTGACACATGGGCACTTTATTCCTGGGATATCTTGGGTATCCAACAAACACAGTATTTAAGGACAGGTGTAATTTTAGGTGTCCTAGTGTTTTGTACTTGTGTTAAGCATTTGTCATCATATACAAAACTCTGTAAAAAATAATAATTAATTTTACTAAAAAAAAAATAAATTCCGTTGCTTAAAAAAAAAAAAGCTCGACAAATTAGCTAGTAAAGAGATATATGAATACCTCTCTATTGTCATCTATTAAAGACTTCAGGAAAAAACCCCTGAGCTTCTGAATAGACCTTTTTCCCACTGAGCATAGCTTAAAGGACATGTTTTCCTTAGATACTTAATATCAAATTAAAGTGAAGTGAAACCTGAAGTGAGACCAGAAATCCTAGTGGACTCCTCTGCTGGAGCTAATTAGTGTGTCCTGAAGCTGCTTCACAGCTGGGAAAAGCTGAGGACACTGGAAGCTGCTCTGCACCCAGGCTTGACTCAGGCTTCAGATGTGCTGGTCGTGCCTTCCAGGAAACTACTGTGCATACTGATCAAAAAATGTTAGAGCTGGACAGGAATTTTCCACTGAAATCTATCCTTCAGCAGAAAAAAACCCCTTGTAACAGCTACTGCCTCTCCCTGACACAAAGCAAAAGTGAGGATTTTCCTCTTCAGTCTCCCTGGCATGGGTGGATATGGTGGTAATTGATAATGAAACCAGTGCACCAGGGAAAGAAGTGAAGAATGCATTTTAAAGCCTTCCATTTCTTAAACACATCCATGTGTTATTTCATATATGCATTCAAAGCTATAAAGCATTTGTTTTACACTGAATTTTATTCTATTTATTGGACTATAATTCACTTGTGTGTATAGCATACCTACATTAATAACATCACTGGGGTTGCAGTGATCTTATAAATATCTTTTTATACTTGCAGAGGTCAGAAAAATCCAGCCTCATAACTACTCAATCAAAACATCCATAATCATCAAGTATAAAGATTCCAAATCCATGTGTCAGCATATCACAGTGACCAGAAAAATTACAAACAGGAACACAAGACAAACCACTGCAATGCCATTGTTCTCCTCTGCCATTATAATTTTTTAAGTTGTATCACTTGCAGAAACAAGTTGGTTTGGTTTTTTTCCCAGCAAATTCTACTTCTTTATGTTGGAATGATGTTTGCTTCCTTCCCTGTTATTTCATTTAAACAGCGAGTCATTCCAAGGTGTTCTCCCACCCATGTCCTGAAGAAAACTCCTTTTTTCTTTTATTGCATTTTGTCCCCCATGGCCTTGTCAATCAAAGTTTCCCTTAGAGAATTCTCCACTCTGGTTCATGCAGGTTGCACCTAGGGAGATGCTGTCAGTTCAGGGAGCCATGGAAGGAGGATGATTCCATGAGATTTTTCACCTGCAACTCATTGGGGCAAATCAGTAACACAGAAAATGCAATTTAATATTGAAATCACACAGAAAAAAAAAGATGTTTTACTGTTTCTACCTTTTTTTTCTTTTTTTTTTTTTTTCCCAGGTGCTTGATAACAAATTGTGTGGAATTTCACTCTTTCAAGTCTCACCAGATCTGGGAAAAGACTAAGTGCTGCAATACAAAAATTTCCCACTAGATAGAAATTGGGATTTTTGGCCATCTCTAATCAAAATAATTTTCTTTGAAATGAAAGAAACAAAACACACCAATCTCATGGTTTTCAAAACAATTATTGCTCAAGGAAAACATCAATCAATACAACATGGACTATATTCAACTATATTGAATAAAGTCAATATTTATATGATATTTGTATTTTAATACTTGTGTTTTAAGACTCAGTTCATTCCAAATTCAAATACATATAATTTCCATTGGCTGAACATATGCTTCTTGCTGTGATAAGTCAAGGTTTCCAAAACCAAAGAATACACTAATTTTTAATTACTATGTAAAAATCACAGAAATTGGAAACAATTAACCTGGATAAATGGTAAAGCACTGATTTAATGAGAAGTTAACTGTACTTAGGCATAAATTAAAAATTACAAATATTTTTCAATAATTGCAACTGGTGTCTAGCCCTGTAAATGTAGAATTCTTTGAATGCTGTTAACTCCCCTGGATTATCAGAAACAGAAGAAAACACTTCCTAAATAATTCTGAGATTTAAACAGCCAAACCAACCAGAAATTTTCCATCCTATTTTAGAAAAAAAACATTTAGGAATCTAGGATTCTGCAAGTTATTTGGCTCATGGCCTTTTTTCTTCCAAATTAAGTCTCAAAATTGTTAGAACATTCTCCAGTGTTTTGGAGAAGATAGATGTTCACAGTGGATTATATTGAATTTATGGCCAGATTTGTCATTCTAATGTTGGTGCAGAGCTGATTTCAGGTGTTTATGCATGAGAAATATCCTACTTTCACCTAAATTTAGCACCTGTGGGTACCTAAACACAGACAACAGAAGCATCTAGCACCTGCCTACGGGCAGCTAAGCTTGTTATTAAGAGCAACTCAGGCTGGTTTCCATCCAGGAAAAAACAAACAAACAAACAAAAATATAAAACAAACAAAGAAAATACTAAAAAAAACTCACCAAAAACCAAAACAAAAGAGATAGAGAGATGAGAAGACAATTTGATATTTCAGTGCAGAGTGTATGGCATTGTGAAGGGTAAGTGTATCTTCATGGGGTCGGGGAAAAGAGTGTGCATTATATTTTGTGTCATTTGCTGAAAAAAAGAAACAGAAGCAGAAATTGGTAATTTGAAGTCCTTTACTGGGAAACTTTGAGAGGCTGTTTTGGTCTGACACTTTTGAGGCTCAGGGCAGACATTGCAAATGTCTGAGACCAGAGCATCCCCGAGCATCACATCTCAGGTTGTAGCATGTGGTTCAATGTCTAAAAAAAAAGGTGCCAAACAATGTCAGAATACATCCTGGCCTTTAAAAAGGACTAAAATATAAACTCCTGGTTTAATATAAGCTATTATATTTTTACTCCTGGTAAAATATAAAGAAGTAAAATACAAACGTGCTTCATGGTGCTTTTTAGCATGCTGGCAGAAAGGTCAGGCATGAATTTAGGACTGCTGTGGCTAAAGGTGATGGGTCTGGTGCTATGGATAGCATCACTCTTTCCCTGACTTGAGGGATATCCAGGATATCCATGTTTATAGCTGAGGGCACGAGGGTAACTCAGGAGAGATTAAAGGGGAGGAAGAAGTAAAGATAAATTAAATTCTTGGCTAACAGGACTGCAGCTGGATACAATAGCTGTAAAACTAGGTGCTGATTAAAGCTGGGACAGCTGCTGCCAGCTTTACCCATTAGCTAGTACAAGATATTGGGACATTGCCTGGCATGGGGAATTGCTGGTAAAAGGCATGCCTGCAAATTTGAGGGCTAACCAAACATGCCTGGGCACATGATTCCTTCAGGATGAAGTCTGATCTGTCTGTCTCCACGGGATTCATTATTGCCATTGCACACCTGTGTGAAAAACAGTAATAAGAATAATTTCTTTGAGTTTTCGTCTTATTTCTATTATTTTGGGTTCTTTTCTCTTTTGATGGCATATAAACTGCTTCATACCTAATATTAGCTCTGGTAGCTTACCTAATAAATAAAAAGTCCACAACCACTTGGTGACCATATGGCATTACATATGTTGGATGTGATCTGCAGATGTAACACTCCAAAAATGCCATCCTTTAGCTGATCTGGATGCCAGTCCACAAACTGAACAAGTGGAGAGCTCTCAACCTCGTTATGCCTCTGAGCTATGGAACAAATGCTCTGTCAGGTACGTCCTTACAACGCTTGCCACAACCCCCAAGACAGTATTTGAAGCAGATTCATTGTTTTTTAAACATTTTTTTTTCTGACAATAAAAAAAGGAGGTTGCAGACGTGCATTGCTCTGCCATAACCTATAGTTAGGACACAATGAGCAGAGCTAGCTCTAAAAGGCTGCTCTGAAAACTCTAGTATGAAAAATAAATTTGCACATCCTCCAATATTTTTGACCCACAACCCTTTGTGGGAGCTGAACAGCAATTCTGGTCAGTGAAAAGGTGAACCAATCCAGCTTGGGCAATAACCTTTCCTGCAAGGCCTTTATCAAGAATCAGGAGATCTCAGTTTGTACCCTTGTGCTCAAGTAATCTAATACTAGGGTTATATACTCTGACTTTTTTAGTGAAGTGCTTTTTCTATTCCATTTATTTTCCAAACAATTTTAAAAAATATTTTGAAATGTCTGATGAGAAAAGTTTAGAAATGAGATGAACATTTTCTTTTGATATAATGTCATAATATTTGATATTGTCAGCATTTTCCATTATATTCTAGTGTACAAAGATACTTCTTCCTCTCAGTTCCTAAACTGTTGTTTAACTTCTCCCTTCTTTTTCCATTTTATGGGTATTGATTCTAATACTGTGCTGAGAAAATGGAAGTAACTAGGTTCTAAGTAATGTGGATTAAAGAAAAAAAAAATACAAATTAAGAGATTGCTTTCTAGTAAAAAAATACTTAAAAATAATTAAAAAAAAAAAAAACCCGAAAGAGATCCACAGCCCACACTCATTGAAATATTGAACAAGCCATAAGAAAGTTTCTGATCCCCTGGAAACATTTTTTTTTGAGAGTAAGTTCCAAAATTTGCATAAAATGTACCTTTAAAGAAACTTTAAGTGTTAAAAGTATACCGACTTCTTGGGAGGGAGGGTTTTGTGATTTGTACATCTCCATTAAGTTTTCTGCTAACACAAATGATTACAGAAGCGTAAAAATTCAGCGAGAGAGTAGAAGTGGAATAGTCTGTGTACTGCTCAAAGAAAATGCCATTGCAAGATGAAATGAATTATCAGTGTGTCTAAATGAGCAGACTGAAGCTTGAACAACCACAAATACAACAAAGGGCACAAAACTGCAGCTTTAGCACCAAACCTCATTGTAATTAAGTGGAATTTTTCCATCTCTTTCCTTGAAATACAAGGCTCTACCAGAACGTGAACAAATCATCTTCCAAGATTTGCCTGTACTTCCTTGTTCTGGTCACATCTAAGTATTTTGACCATTTGTGATATATTCTCTGAAAGATAGATACTTCTCCTTCCCTTCCTACTTCCAGTTTGCACTTTTTTTCATGAGACAGAACAAGGAGGTGTAGTAAGTTTAAAATCCAACCAAAGATGGCTCAAGTGTCTACACTGCTATTTTAGAAGAGACATAGCACAAATGCATTAATTCCACATTTGCATCACCATGTTCAGTGCCTGTCTAGGAGCTCTCAAGTGTGATTCCTAGATTTTGGTGTCTTTTTCTGTAATGGCAGACAATAAAATATAAACTTTTAGAAAGGCTTTCCCCTGGTGTAGTCAAGGACTGAGGTTAAATCACTTGATAGAGGAACAGCCATAATCCAAGCAGCCTCCTGTGATTAGCAAATGGATATCAATAGACAGTGATATTTGTCCCCACTCTCTCAGGTAAAGCTGTAACTATGGATCTGGCACAATAATTTTAGCAGGGTTTCAGTAATATAACACATTTATCTAATATAAAGTTCACAGAAAGTACAATGATCAGATTGTAAGGATTAATTCCCCCCATTCAGATCTTCCTTCCCCCAAGAAATCTGCATCTTGGCAATGTTAGGAAAAAAAACTTAATTCATCACAAGAAACACCTTTCATTATTGTTTCTTTTCTCCAATCTTTTTCCATATAGACCTTTGAGAGTTCATATTGGGGTTTTGATCTATTTGGCTTGGTGTTCTAAGTTATATTGAATTTAATCATGGGGTCACTTGAACCAAGTGGCTTTGCTGTTTCTAATCTACTAACTGCACATTTTTGCCGAGATTGGAAAGGACAAGTCCTATTAGTACTCTGACACCACAGGTCAATAACTCTTTATTTCTTCTATAATTTTATTTTTCATTGTGCCATGCTTTTCAGTTTTCCCAGTTCATACTGGGAAATTGAAATCACCCATCACTACAGCCTGTTTGTTTTCTTATTTTCTTCATGTTGTGCTGAGGGCTGCTACTCTTTCCTTTATACTGATGGCTTGTTCCAGGAGCAGCCAGCATTCCTTTACTTTACCTAATCCACTGCTGGGTGTGTATGTATCAGACTACAAAGAGTTATTTTAGAAGAAAACGTAGTTTTTCAGGTAGAAAAGTGATTCAGCAGATTCCTCACATATTTCTCATCTAATTCTTTATATTTAATTAAGTTTGACCTCCTCGACAAACTCTTCAAGGACATCACAGGAACAGTTTAAGGACATCATCTGCACAATGCAGCTGAATTCCCCATCCTCAACAACATCGACTTCAGGAAAAAAAAATTCTCAAAGCTGTCACTTCATATTACAAAAAACATTAAGGCTGGGTCTATGCAAGCCAAACCTCTAATCAAAGAATCCCAGGTTGGTTTTAACCCACTGCCACTGGCAGAGAAAGTATTGTCCCTCCTACCCCACAGCTACCCCTCGTCAGTCATGCAGCCCCACAGGAAACACAGGGTGTAGAAAACAGGAGATAGCTGAATAATAAATGTTTTTTTATTAGTTCATTGGAAAGAAGCATCAAAATGTGCATATTCTGCTGTGCAATGAAGTTTTCTCTGGTAGTTTCTTCCTTTGTACAGCCTGCTTAGGTGCTGCATGCTCTTATCCTGCAGCTTACTTTCAAAGTCACTATCCCCCTGCTTAGCAATAAAGTAATGATCACTACTTTATATACATTTTAATTTATATATATTATTATTTATATATCTAAAATTTATATCTATTATATACATAATGATCAATCCAGGTCCTCAGATATATTTTTGTCTTTATGGTTCCTGTACAATAGTAGGAATCCTGTACAAATAGTACAAATGTTCTATTGATGATACCAGAAATGATAATTCTTATTTTGGATGTGTGGGAGAACACTAAAAATTAAAAAAAAACAAAAAACAAAAAACACCTCAGGTGAGACTTGCAGAGAGAAGAGCAAGTGTTTTTATTTTCTCCAACTGTTACCTGAAAAAAAATTATAATAAAATAATTTTTAGGAAATCCTGTTATTTTTATCTTCTTCTTCTTTTCAGATCACATGTCTGATGATTGCTGGGGTCTGAAAATTGAGAATGTCCATTAAAAGAAATTACAGTTAATTTCTTGCCTACTCACAGGGCATGGATTATCCTCAGTCCTCTCATATTATATAGAGGCAATGTTTATTAATATAGAGCCTTGAAATCAAGAACAAAACACACTTTAACTTCTGTCATAGCACAAGTAATAAAGTGTAAGTTACTCAAATGGAGACATGTCAATGTATATTTTTCAATTCTCTGAGTCAGAACACATAAGTGATTTCTTTTAACTTACTCCCTAAGCATGGTGAAATTCACTGGTGGAAAGTTAGAGGTGTTACCAAATACATAAATCTGACATTTATTTTTGCTCCCTCTCTCCCAGTCAGTATGTATAGTTGAGATATTTTTCTGTATTTTAGTCTTACAGATGATGGTGTATATAACTTTATAAATATTTGTACATGTATATATGCACATTACATACATAAATATATATATCAGTATCCATATATACATATATATTTATAAAGAGGGAACGCAAGTTAGCATGGCTTTATATAAATGCATTGAGTTAAAAAAGGGAAAAGGGAGAATAAAATTAGCTTGGCATGACTGTGTGAGATTAAACACTAAAATTATCCTCCTGCAGTCATATTTAATTCTCTAAACAGCTTTAACTAATTTGCTTAGGCACACTACATTTTAGTGAAACTAATGAAAAAACATGAAGCCTCTGTGTTCATTTTTGCTGAATACTCAAACCTCTAAATGTAATAAGACTTTTTTTTTAATCTTTTGTTTTAATCGTTTCATCTCTATAGCACTCTCTTTGCTTACTCGAGCTGCTATTTTAGGAAATAGCTTGTGCTTGAAGTGCTCATATTCCCTAAATTTATTAATTTAAGGAACTTAAGTGATATTCCTTACTATAGCCACCTATGTAATTAAACAAAAATTGCCAATATCAGACAACATTTCCCCTCAAGTAAAAAAAAAACAAAAACAAAAACCCAAACAAAAACCAAAAGATGAAACAAGAAGCAGGTAGCACTTGTTCACATTAATTTGACCACAGAAGAATAAAAAAAGAAACAATAGCCAGACACCTAATTTATCACAGGTGGGTTGCAGACATTCTGGCTAAGCATAAGAGTGCCAAATAGTTTGGGGGGTTAGGTTTAAACAGACAGGCAACTCCCCAGAAGAGTTAGTGTGTTGGAAACTCGTGTGTAGTGGTTTCACTCAGCGAGAATATACTTTTCTGTTTCTGGTAGAACCAGTTTTCCAATGTGGTTGCTGCATAAAAAAAACCCCAAACCTTATATTCTTCTTGCCTACTGCTGGGCAGACTGATCTCTCTGCCACTGTTTACAGTAATTTTGTCAACAGTGATTCTCTAACATTTTATTTAAATGTCAAATGGAAAGGTAGAATATACCTTGTGGTGGCTTAGATGAGCGGTCTAGATGTGCCTAGCAGGTAAACCATTCAGCCAAACCAAGTATTTCTGGTTATAAGCAATACCAGTTTTCTGGTACTTTACAGGGCACTTTTTGTAAGGTAATAGCTTATTCTCCATCCCTACTCATCCCGTTATTTAGTCTGTACATGTCTGCATGACAGGCCCAAATCACAAGTAACCTAATATTTTCTTTGATAAAATCAATATTAAAAAAATAA